GGCAGGGCCATCTTGAGGTGTTTTTTTTTCTCTCACATTTTCCTGATTTTCTAGACTAAGTTCATGTTTTTTCTAATGGTTGCCACAAGGCCATTTCTGTATTCTTCCGTACATCATTGTGTTATTTGCAAAGGCAGCTGGTACAGCTTGTGATGACACAAAAAAAAGATGAACTGTGTATTGTCCCGACACAACGGAGTACACGAAGGTTAATATCGGGCACAAAGAAACAGAATGACACTGTGACCTGATCAGAGTTGCCTCTCTTTTATTGTTGCTTGCCTATTTACAAGAATTTTGCCAGACTGACTGCATTCTCTTGGGAACAGCTAGATACAGGCTTCAGAGATTTTAGGGCAGTGGTGGTGAACCTATGGCACGGGTGCCAGAGGCGGCACTCAGAGCCCTCTCTGTGGGCACATGCGCCGTCGCCCCAGTCCTAGGCCTTCAGCTGGGTTTTATAAAACCTTTTCGCTTTAGGCCTCTGCCACCATGTGCAAAAAAAAAGGTTCAATCAAAAAAAAAGGTTCAATCAAAAAAAAAAGGTTCAATCAATCAGTCAAAAAAAAAAAGGTTCAATCAATCAGTCAATTTCAACTTCTCGCGGGAAAAAAAAGATCTTGCAAAGTTGGAATTGATTGATTGAACTTTTTAGTCCCACCCAGTCTGCCGTTACCACAGCAGCCACGCCCACCCAATGGGCCACACCCACCCGGCACCCGATGATGCATAAGTGGGTTTTGTGTTGCAGTTTGGGCACTCAGTCTCTAAAAGGTTCGCCATCACTGTTTTAGGGGGAGATAGATATCTGTCACTTCCACGGCTGCAGGGATTCCAAGCTCACCCGCAGTCTCCTCACTCTTCACGCCCTAGCTCAGTGATGGCGAACCTTTTAGAGACCGAGTGCCCAAAAACTGACCCTGCCCCCGCTCCACCCCTGCCCTGCCCCCACCCCGCCCCCACCCCACCTACCCGCAGGGCCACTCATCGCCTCCAGGGCCCGCTGCAGATCGCCCAGCAGCGCCATGGCAGGCACGCCCTCTGCCCGCGCCCCGCAGCATCAACTGTGCGCAATGTGGCGTGAGGACAGAGTCTTGTCTACCACTCACCGCCTCCACGGCCTGCCACAGATACTCAGGCAGCCCAGCAGCGCTATGGCGGCCACACCCTCTGCCCACGCCCTGCAGCATCAACTGCATGATGGGGTGTGAGGGCAGAGTCTTGTCTACGCTGCCTGGCTGCCATGTCCTTGGCTGCGCTGCTCCGTGTGGGCCACGCTCGGGGGCGACTCTTCTCCAGGAGGGCTACTGGTGAGGAGGGGGGTCACGGGGGGAGGCGAGGCTGGGGCAACGGCATGTGTGCACAGGGAGAGGGCTCCGAATGCCGCCTCTGGCACCCGTGCCATAGGTTCGCCACCACTGCTCTAGCTGAAGAGTCCACCACCTACAGGTGGTCCTCGACGTACAACCATTCATTTAGTGACCGTTCAAAATACAACTGAAAGAAGTGACTTATGGCCGTTTTTTCCATATTTAGGACTGTTGCACCATCCCCATAGTCCCATGATCAAAATCCGGACTCTTGGCAATCGGCTCCTGTTGATGACGGTTGCAGTGTCCTGAGGTCACGTGATCCCCTTTCTGACAAGCAAAGTCAATGGGGGAAGCCAGATTCACTTAACAACCGTGTTACCAACGTAACAACTGCGACGACTCACTTAAAACGGTGGCGAGAAAAGTCGTAAAATGAGGCAAAACTCCCTTAACTGTCTCGCTTAACAGAAATAATTTGTTTGTGTTTGTAAGTCGTGGGCTACCTGTATTACGACATTGTGATTTCTTAACTTGGTACCTGACCGAGCTGTTTGGCCTTCCCTCAGTGCTCGGATGCGTGGGGGCTCAGGTGTTGAACACCCACCAGATGACACGGTGGGCTTCGGGGGCCCAAGTATTGATAGCGCAGGACCACGGCTGACTCTTCCTAACGGGGCTGTGCTTTCAGCACAAGGATTGCCACCAGGGGCTGGACGGGAGCAGCTAGAGCGAGCCCTGGTGGTACAGGAATCCGAAAGGTAAGCAAACCGATATTCTGGCCCTCTCTGGCTTGATATAATCATTAGCATTATTCCAGCAAACATTGGTTGTTTGATAGCAGGGGTCAGGCCTTGGCAACGAAGCAGGGTGTGAGAGCTCCTAATGGGTGCTGAGTGGCCATAATTTCCCCCTTCTGCCCTGTCTCTTGCCTTCCCACAGTTTGCCCTTTTCTCCAAATTTCATTTGCCTGACGCTCTTTGATTTCTCTCCTCTATCGCTCCCAGGCGCAAGAAGCTGCGATTCCATCCGCGTCAGCTCTACCTCTCCGTTAAGCAAGGGGAACTCCAGAAAGTGGTCCTGATGTTGTGTAAGTTATCCGTGGTCTACTTGCACCCACTTCCCTGCTGGAAATGTGGAATGAGGAGGCCAGTGATAGGAGAAGGGCACCCTATTGGGTACCACTATAGCAAGGCTTTTCAACCAGTGGTACGGGTACCACCTGTGGTACATTGGCACCTGGCAGTGGTACGCGACCATCTTAGAAAAGTGGTAGAAGGGGAGGGAAATGAGCTGAACCAATGTCAGCACCGCACAAGCCTGAGCAAAAGATGGCTGGAGCTGCAGGGCTGTCAGGCTCAGCGGAAGCACCAGGATCAGTGCCGCTTTCCAGCTGATCGGCGTTTCTTCGGGGCTGTCAGAAGCGCCGATCAGCTGGAATGTTGCAGCCTCTCCAGGGTTTTGTGATTTACATTCAGATGCTTGGCAACCGATTCATATTTATGATGGTCACAGTGTCCCAGGGTCATGTGAAGTGACCAAAACCTGCTGCAACCACCCAGCAGACGGGGGGAATAAAAACCAAACACCCCCCCTCCCCACCCCCACTGACAATCCTCAACAGAAATGCTCACAACAATGAAAACCTCGGACAGGAGGAAGAGCATTGCCGGGTGGGCAGGCAGGTGTCTTGCTCAGCTGTGGCTTGGGGGGGCACTTTTTTCAGTGCTATTGTAACTTCGAACAGTCACTAAACGAACTGTTGTAAGTCGAGGACTACCTGAACTTCATCACTTTTTTCCTTTTTGGGGGGGGGGGGGTCATCAAGTTTTTGACCCCTTGCTAGGCGACTGGTGGTACTCAGATACTGCCATATCCTAAAAGTGGTACAATGGGTGAAAAGGTTGAAAAGCCCTGGTGTAATTTATCCGTGGTCTACTTGCACCCACTTCCCTGCTGGAAAGGTGGAATGAGGAGGCCAGTGATAGGAGAAGGGCACCCTATTGGGTACCTCCATAGCAGTGTTTTTCAACCTTAGTAACTTTTAAGATGTCTGGACTTCAACTCCCAGAATTCCCGAGCCAGCCGTCAAGAGTTTGTGAAAGAGAGATTTCTTTCAGTGCCTCCTTATGGAGTTAAAATTTACCATTTTATTGTCATGAATCTAGCCCAGTGATGGCGAAACCTTTAGAGACCGAGTGCCCCAAAACTGCCCCACACCCCCTGCACTGCCCCCACTCCACCCCTACCCCACACCCACCCACCTGCAGGGCCACCCACCACCTCCACGGCCCGCCGCAGATTGCCCAGGTGGCCCAGCAGCGCCATGGCAGGCACGCCCTCCACCCGTGCCCAGCAGCAGCATCTGTTTGCGACAGAGCGCAAGAGCCGAGTCTTGTCCCCACTGCCCGGCTGCCATGTCCTTGGCTGCGTTGCTCCAGGCGGGCTGCGCCCGGGGGCGACTCTCCTCCAGGGGGACTGGTGGTGAGGAGGGGGCCACGGGGGGAGGTGGGGCTGGGGCAATGACACGTGTGCCCACAGAGAGGGCTCTGAGTGCCGCCTCTGGCACTCGTGCCATAGGTTCGCCACCACTGATCTAGCCAATCGGGGCAATCGTTTATTCTCTTTTCTTTTTCATTGCCACTCATCTTCTCTCTTTTTTTCCCCAGTAGACAGCTTGGACCCCAATTTCCAGACCGAACAGCAAAGCAAGCGTTTTCCACTGCATGCTGCAGCACAGAAGGGCTACATGGAAATCTGCCATGTTTTGCTGCAGGTGTGTGTGTGTGTGTGTGTGTGTGTGTGTGTGTGTGTGTATGAATAAACCTGGGCTCCACTGGGTTTCCTCTTTCCTTCATATGCCCTGGGTATGAGCAAGAAGTAAATAAGCATCCTTCATCAACTTTTCGAGTTGAAGTAGGTAAACTCCCCATTCAGTAGCTTAAAGATGGCAGGCAAAATTGAGAGTAAAAAGAAATAGATAGTATCTCCTTGGATCACGGGTGTCAAATTCGATTGCGTCACGGGACATATTGTGACGTTTTTTTGCCTTTGCAGAGCCGGGGCGGGTGTGGCCTGTGCGTGACGCATCCGGCCCACGGGTCGCCAGTTTGACACCCCTGCCTTAGATCATCACACCCTTTTTCCAGTTATGGTATTCTAATCTATAAAATACGCAGCACAGATTCGCTGCTTTTTGGAAATTCTGCAGCCCATCTTGAGTAAGGGCGGCTCAGATCCTCAGTAACCCACACGTAGATTTGAATATACGTATCTTTGCCCAGTGGCTACACAGCTGTGCCCGACAGGCACAATTTTACACTTGAAGGAGGCTTCTGAAAGAGGGAGGGATGAAAAGGTTAAAGAGGAAAATACACAGTTCTGGGTTTGCTGAGAGAGAGAGAGAAGAGCTGTTGACTTGTCAATATCTCAAAATACGGCTGTATTAAGCTGCTCTTAAGTCAGTTGGTTGAAATTGGCATAGGGTAGTCCTTGCTGAGCGACTGCAATTGTTCCAGTGGCTGACACAGTCACTAAGCAAACAGAGAGGGTGACAAAGATGCTGCAAAGATTGCTAGTAGTCCTACAGTCTGATTCAGATAAAAGTTCTCTTGTTTGGTGCCCTGTTTTGTTTTGTTTGGGGTTTTGGGGGTTTTTTTGTTGCCCCTTAAACAAGTGTTCTCTTCCTGAGTTACTTTTGTATGCAGCCCAGCCCTTTCCTAAAAAGGGCTAATTAACAAGCTCAGCTCTGAAACCTTAATTAGTTGATTAGAAGCCTCCTGGCAGTTTCCCAGCTGCTGCTGAATCTGGCCACACATTAATCAGTTCCGCATTGAAGGTTTTTGTTGTCCTAAATCAGGGCTCTTCAAACTCGGCCCTTTTATGACTCGTGGACTTCAACTCCCAGAATTCCTCAGCCAGCATGCCTGGCTGAGGAATTCTGGGAGTTGAAGTCCACGAGTCATAAATGAGCCAAGTTTGAAGACCCCTGTCCTAAATACCAGTGGCAAAACTACTTTTTCTTAACCTGGTAATTGCAAACTGTGGCTATCCGAGACAAGTCACTAAACCGGTACTACCTACCATGTATATCAGTTAAACATGTAAAGAAGTCAATTAGTAATAAATCATAAATATTCTCTCTGGCAGGCTGGAGCCAACATAAATACGGTGGACAAGTTGCGTCGGACCCCTTTAATGGAAGCGGTTGCAAACAACCACGTGGAGTTAGCCCATTACTTGGTCAAGAGGGGTGGTTGTGTGTACACGAAGGTCAGGAGATGAAAGAAATGATCTTTTGGTGGAAGGATTGCTGTGTGGAAGGGAGTGGGGTGGAGATATTTTATTTCTTAAAGGGAGTCGGTGTGGCATTTATTTTTTATTTTTTGCAACAGTCCTGTGCTTTTAATAGATATATACTGTATGACAAGTGTTATTTTGGTACACAACAGTTTCGTTTCTATGTGCCTTGCTGCTTTTAAAAGGGCGAGACTCTTCAAAATAATGTGTACCAAGGGCCTAATTGTAGCATTTCTTCACAACATGTGCTGTCTTTGAGAACAATCTTAGTTCAGTGGAGAAACAAATACCTGTGTTTAACCGGCTCAATTTGAAGTAATTTCTCCTCAGAAACTTGACATTCAACATCAGCAATGCTTTTTTTAAAAGAAATCTTTTTTTTAATGACAAAATAGTATTTAATCTTAAGAAATTTAAACCTAGAAACTAAGAAAGAAAAAGAAAAAAACTATCTGATATTTTATATTTATCTATAATCACTAGCTCACCACTGAAACTTCGATAATTGAAATCAGTGTTTCTCAATCTTTAAGACATGTGGACTGCAACTTGCAGAATTCTCCAGCCAGCATGGGAGTTGTAGTCCACACCTCTTAAAGTTGCCAAGATTGAGAAATACTGAAGTAAACAATTGAGTATATTATTGTAAGGTATCACAGGATTTCTGCCATAGTAACATATATATTGCTACATCCTTTGGTAGAAAATACCACCTTTTCCAAAACAGATCACACATTTCCAACAACCTTGATTAACAATGCTAGTTCCAGCTGGTTTAATAGAATAACTCAGTGACAGGGTTGAACCTTTATATTAAGCATGGTTTGTTTTAACCGTGGTTTGTTGAGCCTGTCAGAGTGGCCTGGGTTACACATAATACTAAGCCGTTGTGTACAAACCATATTGACTGAGTTTATAAAAGACCCTGATCTAAAGCCAAAAAAAAAAAAAAAAGAAATCACACAAAGCTTAGTGTAATGCATGAATCCAGAGTCTGAGGTCTCTTCTTATGGGACTAAAATTCAGGATTCCGTCGCTGTTTTGTGAGAATGAAAAAAGTAGGGAGGGAATCACTATGGGGAGAGGAAGTGCTTACATGTAACTTAAATTAATGCTGTTTCATTCTTCCCGATGTTACCGCCAAAAGGAGGATGATGGATCCACCTGTCTTCATCATGCTGCCAAGAATGGAAATGTGGAGATGGTCAGCTTGCTCCTTTCCACGGGACAGGTGGATGTCAATGCCCAGGTAAGTGGAGAGGCTGATTCCCCTTGGTTTCTGATCGTGGTTACCAGCTTCACCCAGTTCTCCCTGGGCCTTCACACATTGCTTGTTTTTCCTGTTCCTTGTTTAGGATAATGGAGGTTGGACCCCCATTATCTGGGCTGCCGAGCATAAGCACATTGAGGTGATCCGTATGTTGCTCACCCGAGGCGCTGACGTCACCTTGACTGACAATGTACGTGAGTTTGGGTTTCATGGGGAAAGCACCAGGCTTGTGAAATTGATATAAAACAGAAATGAGTGAGATTTGTTCCCGGGAGCCAGAACTGTAGCCTGAGAGGGCTGGGGGGAGAAAATCTCTGGCTGGATTTATCTGCATAACAGAATGGACAAGGTTGGTTAGTCCAGGGGTCTCCCACCTTGGCAACTTTAAGACTTGTGGACTTCAATTCCCAGAATTCCTCAGCCAGCCATGGTTGGTCCACAAGTCTTAAAAGTTGCCAAGATCGGAGATCCCTGGGTTAGGCCACCCCATTGCGGTTGGGCCCTTGCTTTAAAACAGGGGTGTCAAACTCAATTTCATTGAGGGCCACATCAGCATTGCGGTTGCCCTCAGGGGGCCGGGTGGGTGTGGCCAGAATGGGTGTGGCCTGCTGGGTGGGTGTGGATGGAGTGGGTGTGGCCTACTGGGTGGGTGTGGCCAGTTCTACATTGTTCGCGTCAAGGGTGCTTGTGGGGGCCAGGAGTGGGATAGATCTGAGGGTCTGGCAGAAGGGTGGGACCAGGGCAAGTGCCAAGGCATGGTCCACTGGAGGAGCCTCACTGTTCCTTTCAGGCCATGCAGGGGGGGTCTTAAGGAGCTAAGACTGAATGCGTTTCAGCATAGATGGCCACCACAAAATTGTAGATTGGCTCCCGGCTGACCTGGGCCAGGGCCAAGGCAGCGGGGGCCGTTCCCTCACTGTTTCCAGGATGGCTTCGCGGGCCACATGAAACCACTTCGTGGGCCGCATCCGGCTCCTGGGCCTTGTGTTTGACATGTGTGCTTTAAAAGGAAATCCTTGCAGTTAGGAAAGTTTAACACTGCTAAGGGGGAAGGTGGGTAAAAGGAGTCACATGGTAGACATGGCAGTGCCATTGAAGTCTCATGCAACACTGATGGACATTCAGGCTTTGGGCCTGCTAGTGAGGATGGCCATCTTGACTCTTGGGATCCCTCCTATGGCTACTGCTGAGAGTGATAGAAGAGAGCAGATCTGCAGATCTTTACGGTCCTCTACAAGGGAACATGCGGACGTTTGGACTCCCGGCCTGTTGCCTGTCACTTTTCTTTAACGCCTTCCTCTTCTTCCATCCAGGAAGAGAACATCTGTTTGCACTGGGCCTCTTTCACCGGAAGTGCGGAGATTGCTGAAGTCTTACTAAATGCCCAGTGTGATCTCCATGCGGTCAATTTCCACGGAGACACGCCTCTGCATATAGCTGCCCGGGAGAGCTACCACGATTGTGTCCTGTAAGCCAGGGCTTTTCAACCTTTTCACCCACTGTACCACTTTTAGGATATGGCAGTATCCGAGTACCACCAGTCACCTAGCAAGGTGTCAAAAACTTGATGACAAAAAAAAAAAAAAAGGAAAAAAGTGATAAAGTACAGGTAGTCCTCGACTTACAACAGTTCGCTTAGTGACTGTTCGAAGTTACAATGGCACTGAAAAAAGTGCCCCCCAAGCCACAACCGAGCAAGACACCTGCCTGCCCAACTGGCGGCGCTCTTCCTCCTGTCCGAGGTTTTCATTGTTGTGAGCATTTCTGTTGAGGATTGGCAGCGGGGGTGGGGTGGGGGGTGTTTGGTTTTTATCCCCCCCCCCGGTCTGCTGGGTGGTTGCAGCAGGTTTTGGTCACTTCACATGACCCTGGGACACTGTGACCATCATAAATATGAATCAGTTGCCAAGCATCTGAATGTAAATCACAAGACCCTGGAGATGCTGCAACATTCCAGCTAATCGGCGCTTCTTCTGGGCTCAGCAGAAGCACCAGCGCCAAGCTCCAGCTGAAGCCTGGCGTTGATCCTGGCGCTTCCGCTGAGCCCTGACAGCCCTGCAGCTCCAGCCATCTCTCGCTCAGGCTTGTGCGGTGCTGCCACCAGTTCAGCTCATTCCCCTCCCCCACTACCACTTTTCTAGGATGGTCGCATACCACCTGCCAGGTGCCAATGTACCACAGGTGGTACGCGTACCACTGGTTGAAAAACCCTGCTGTAAGCAACAGGCAGTTGAGAAGTTTCTGTTTTGGGATCCTACACTGCAAGACGGTGGGAGGCCTTTGCTCTAATCGACTACATCTTCTTCCTCGCACAGCTTGTTCCTGTCAAGGGGAGCCGACACTGAAATACGGAACAAGGAGGGGGATTTGCCGGTGGACCTGACCTTGGAAAACTCGGATGTTTGGTTCGCCCTTCAACTCAATCGCAAGATCCGCCAAGGCATCCTTAACCGTTCGATGCGCACGGAGCGCATCATCAGCAGGTAAGGTGGTCGGGTGGAACCCGATGTGTGCAATGCACGTCCGGCTAGGTTTCAGTTTCATTTTTCTAGGGCTTGTCATGTGTTCGGGCACGTGATTCCGGTAGGAGGGGGCTTCTGCTTTAGGGCAGGGCCAAGAGCTGCATAAAGCTTTACACGGAGCTTCAATAAGGAGATTATCATTTGGAGCAAGCGAAGAGGAGGCTCAGATGGAGTTTTTAAAAGTTAGGAAATAGTGCAGGTGCAGGCGGTCCTTGATTTGCAACCACTCATTTAGTGACCCTTCAAAGTTACAACAGCACTGAAAAAAAGTGATTTGTCACCGGTTTTTTTACACTTATTACCGTTGCGCCGTGCCCGTGGTTGATGTGATCAGAATTCGCATGCTTGGCAACTGACTCACATTTACGACGGGTGCAGTGTCCCAGAGTCGTGTCATCACCTTTTGAGATCTTCTGACAAACAAAGTCAATTTTGGAAGCCAAATTCACTTAACAACGGTGTTGCTAACTGAACAACGGCCGTGATTCACTTAACAAGAAAAGTCATAAAATGGGGCAATGACTGTCTCACTTAGCAACAGAAATTTGGGGCTCGATTGTGATCATAAGTCGAGGACTACCTGCATTTAAGACAATCAATTTAACAAAAAAAGTGGGAAATCTATCAAGTGGCACTTAGCAGCGGTGGAAGCACTTAAGCAAACAGATGCAGTTTATCAGGAGGGAGAGATGAACTGGATACCTGACATTTAACAGCGATGAAGCTTTGGATTTATTCTGCATAGCACCTGAGAGTAAGAAAAAAAAAACTGGGTGGAAGCTTAATGGAGGTAGTCTTCATTTAGCAAGCACAATTTGGATCAGCAGATCTGTTCAGTTAAGCGAAGCAGTACTTATAATTTTACTTCAGCTTTCCTCTACACACCTGTGAAGGTCATACTTGTGAGGGTTGGTTGCAAAATCACTGTTTCATTACTGTGGTAATTGCAAATGGTCACTAAATGAGGCAGTTGTTAAACAGGGACTACTAGTAGAGAGAGAGAGTGAAATGTGAACTAAGGAGGAATTTCCTGAGAGTAAGACCTGTTAAGCAATGGAAGCTTAAGCCCGTCTCTTGAAGCTCTGGGGACGCCATCTCTGTAGATAATAATAATAATAATAATAATAATAATAATAATAATAATAATAATAATAATAATAATAATAGTAGTAGTAGTAGTAGTAGTAGTAGTAGTAGTAGTAGTAGTAGTAGTAGTAGTAGTAGTAGTAGTGAAGTCATCTAGTCCAACCCCCTGCTCAGGCAGGAAACCCTATACCATTTCGGACAAATGGCTGTCCAGTCTCTTCTTAAAAACTTCCAGTGTTGGAGCCTTCACCGCTTCTGGAGGCAGGTTGTTCCACTGATTAATTGTTCTCACTGTCAGGAAGTTTCTCCTTAGTTCTAGGTTGCTTCTCTCCTTGATTAGTTTCCATCTGTTGCTTCTTGTCCTGCCTTCAGGTGCCTTGGAGAATAGCTTGACTCCCTCTTCTTTGTGGCAGCCCCTGAGATATTGGAACACTGCTATCATGTCCCCCCTCGTCCTTCTCTTCGTTAAACTAGACATTCCCAATTCCAGCAGCCGTTCCTTATATGCTTTAGCCTCCAGTCCCCTAATCATCTTTGTTGCTCTTCTCTGTACTCTTTCTAAAGTCTCAACATCTTTTTTACATCGCGGTGACCAAAACTGGATGCAGTATTCCAAGTGTGGCCTTACCAAGGCATTGTAAAGTGGTATTAACACTTCACGTGATCTTCATTCTATCCCTCTGTTAATGCAGCCTAGCACTGTTTTGGCCTTTTTGGCAGCTGCAACACACTGCTGGCTCATATTTAGGTGATTGTCCACTAGGACTCCGAGGTCCCTCTCACAGTTACTACTATTGAGCAAGGTGCCACCTATGCTGTACTTGTGCATTTGGTTTTTCTTGCCTAAATGTAGAACCTTGCTTTTTTCACCATTGAATTTCATTTTGTTCAAGAAAAGGTTGGGCAGCCATTTTGTCTGGAGGGTATGAGAATTCCTACACAAGGATTTGTTTTTCCTGGGGTACGCAATGGATAAAGAAAATACAGCACAATAAAGAGAATAGTCCGTGAGAAAGGAAAAATAAAATAAAACGACTGAGGCTTAGAGAATCCAGCAATCATCCTCTTTTAATGGAATATCATTTAGCAAGGTAGAAGTGGAAGCAAAAGCTGTCCAAACAGGGCGGGGTGCTTAAAAACTGCCACTGAAAAGTAGCCTCCATCTTAGGTTCTGCCTTCTTGTCTTTAACCAGGGATGTGGCTCGGGGCTACGAAAACGTGCCCATCCCCTGTGTCAACTCGGTGGATGATGAACCCTGCCCAGATGACTACAAGTACATCTCCGAAAACTGCGAGACCTCCACCATGAACATCGATCGCAATATCACCCACTTACAGGTATCCTTTCGATCCAACCCACGAGCAGCAGAGGGGGAAAGCAGAGAAGTCAAAAGTCAAGAAATACAGCCTGGCTCTGGACAGTTATTTTAGCCGATCGGGGTGGGGGGGGAGAGGGGACCACGGCATGGTGGGAGAGCAGATGCGTTGCGAGGCAAAAGGTCTCTGAGCTGACTCCGACCGTGTGTTCCCCCAAAATAAGACCATCGCCTGCCACATTAATGTAGTAAAATGAACAATTATTAGAATAATAATTGTCTGCATAACTGCAATAATGATGTGTCTGCATAATTGCTAGAATAATGATGTAATGCATAATCACTGGGAAAATTCACTGGGAAAGTTCTGTGTCAGTAATATGTGGCTAACCAAATGCGCTCTGCACATGGATACTTTGTATGTAGCAAAACGTTCCATTGTATGCCCGTGAGAAACGAACCAAATGTATTACAGTGTATTATCATGTGTAGTCCCTTTGTTCCTGAAAGAAGGGAAGTATAAAAACTGAAGTCTAATCCCGCCCTCCTTGTTCAGAATTGCCTAACTCTAATATGCCTCTGAACCTGCGCAATAAACCTCTCTGCTAAACCCCTCTGGAATTCGTAAGAGTTCTTTCGTTTTCCACAAGAAAACCTCCGTTTTTCACCTCTCTTCTTTACGTTGGCAGCATTGCACGTGCCAGGACGACTGTTCCTCCAGCAATTGTCTCTGTGGACAGCTTAGCATCCGCTGCTGGTATGACAAGGTGAGGTGGTGCCTTTGAGTGGGGCAGAAGAGCTGCTTAGCAAACTGGAAACCCTCAGACTGAGGATGTGCGGAAAAATCTACTTGGATGCATGTGAGAAATGTTACTCGGCTACAATCTGCCTTTGCTAACCCGCCTCCCTGGGTTTTTAAACACTTAATCATAATTTCTTATCAGGCACCTAAAGCAGCAGACACCTACCCCCATCCTTTAAGGCAGGGTGAGCTGAAAGAGAACATGACCGGGGTTTAGTAGGGCTCGAAGGTGCAAGTTTATCCTGAACTTGGGTCCAGGGGGGAAGGGGTAAAGATTAGGTCACGCTTGGCAATTTTTGAGGGGGAAAAAGTCTTGAGAAAATTCTTCTCTGACCTGTTGTCAAATAGACTTTACCCTATCCCAAAGGACGGACTCGTTCTCCCAACCTGATCTATGTCCGCTTTTCAACCAGTGGTACGGGTACCGCCTGTGGTACATTGGTACCTGGCAGGTGGTACGCGACCATCCTAGAAAAGTGGTAGCGGGGAGGGGAATGAGCTGAACCGGTGGCAGCACCGCACAAGCCTGAGCGAGAGATGGCTGGAACTGCAGGGCTGCCAGGGCTCAGTGGAAGTGCCAGGATCAGTGCCGCTTTCCACCTGATCAGTGCTTCTTTGGGAATGTCAGGGCTCAGCGGAAGTGCCAGGATCAGCGCCAGGCTCCAGCTGGAGCTCGGCGCTGATCCTGGCGCTTCTGCTGAGCCCAGGAGAAGCACCGATCAGCTGGAATGTTGCAGCCTCTCCAGGGTCTTGTGATTTACATTCAGATGCTTGGCAACTGATTCATATTTATGACGGTCACAGTGTCCCAGGGTCATGTGAAGTGACCAAAACCTGCTGCAACCACCCAGCAGACGGGGGGGAATAAAAACCAAACACCCCCCCACCCCACCCCGGCTGCCAATCCTCAACAGAAATGCTCACAATGAAAACCTCGGACAGGAGGAAGAGCGCCGCCGGGTGGGCAGGCAGGTGTCTTGCTTGGCTGTGGCTTGGGGGGCACTTTTTTCAGTGCCATTGTAACTTTAAACAGTCACTAAACGAACTGTTGTAACTTGAGGACTACCTGTACTTTATCATTTTTTTTCCTTTTTGGGGGGGTCATCAAGTTTTTGACACCTTGCTAGGCGACTCGTGGTACTCGGATGTTGCCATATCCTAAAAGTGGTACAATGGGTGAAAAGGTTGGAAAGCCCTGGACTAGATGACCTCCATGGTCCCTTCCAACTCTGTTATTCTGTTACTGCCTCTTCTAGAAGAGGTTTCTTTGTCTTCTCCTTGCTTTTCCTTATTCTTATGGAGATGCTTCCTGATATGCTGGACAGGGGACTTTGCTTCGTCCCCTCCCTCTTCAGAGAGAATAACAACGGTACAAGAAGTCCTCAATTTACGAGAATTCATTTGGTGACCACTCAGAGTTAACAACGGGACTGAAAAAGTGACTTATGACCATTTTTTACACCGTTACAGCATCTCCATGGTCACGTGATCCAAATTCAAATGCTTCGCAACTGTCTCATATTTTTGACGGTTGCAGCGTCCCGGGGTCATGTGATCCCCTTTTGGGACTTCCTGATAAGCCAAGTCAATGGGGAAGCCAGATTCACTTAACAACCGGGTTACTAATTTGACAACTGCAGCGATTCGCTTAGCAACTGTGGCGAGAAAGGTCGTAAAATGGGGCCAAACTCACTTAACAAATGTCTCGCTTAGCAACAGACATGTTGGGCTCCATTGTGGTCATAAGTGGTTCTCAACCTATGGGTCGTGACCCCATTTGGGGTCGATTGACCATTTCACGGGGGTCGCCAAGCAAGGCTGTCCGCCATTTTTTTCCCCCTTTTCCGGCGGGTGCCTTACCTCCCTTGGGCTGGGCCAGCTGGTGGTCGGCCTGCTCCGTCTCTGCCGCTTGCCAGCTACGCCTCGGCTGGCGCAGGGGGCGGAACCACGCATGCGCGGCGCTCCCGGGCAGGGAAAGTCCTCGACTTACGACCAGTTGGGTAGTCCTCGACTTACGACCGGTTTAGTCCTCGACT